ATATATATATTGCTCAGCATCAAGGCAATGGTTTCAATTCCTAGTACTGAAAATATTTTTTAAAAATATATGTACATATTTCAACAATTTATTGCTAGTATGTGGAAATGACATCGATCACTGTTGAAAGTGAATGTGTACCTCAAGACTCAGTCCCAAGCGGCTGCTCTTTTCATTACATATTCTCTCAACAACGGATTGTATACATATCCTGATTATGCCAAATGCCTCAAATATTTTCCTCTCTACCAACCCATCTTCTGAGTCCATGAACTTGTAATCCAATAGCTTTCTGCATATATATAAGTCCATCTTATCTTGATGTAAAGTATTCAGTGACAATATTTAATGCTTTCCTCAGAACCTTTCCTGAATGGAGTAAAAACATTAAATCTATGATATCAGGGGCTTAGACTCTCTGGGGCATGTTTTACTCAGTCATCTGCAGTAAGTTAACCACAGTACATTTCTGTCAGACAAAACAAAGGAATCATAACTGACTTTTCAGATGGTACCTGAGAATAAATTTCAGATAAAGAATATCAAATATTCATTGAGGTTGACTACTGGTCAGTCAGAAGTAGTTAGACTGCTCTTCACTTCCTGCTTGGGAAAAAAATGGCAGCAGTGGTTTAAAACTGTGAAGTATAGAATCAAGTGGTTCCCTTCAGCCACCTGTGGTCTAGGTCTTTGAGATTGGGTTGAGATTCCTGGAAACCGATTCTAGGAATTGTTTTCTGGAAACATTGAATTGCAATGAGAGGTCACCCATATTTTGCAAATCTTTTGTGTGTAAGGTAGGGTACAGAGTAAGAAATGGGTGTTCAGTTTGGGGGTATCCAAGGAATACCAATGGAGGTCTTAAAAGGTCCCATCCTGCTTTTGTGAAGTCCTACTTGGGTCAAGGACAAGGTCTAACTTGCCTGTTGTCATTTCACACATGATGTCTACATGTCCACTCTGTTGCAAAGGGATTTACAGAGGCCCAGGTCTGGTTGTCAGCAGATTGTCTGCTATGAGTGACTGATGGATTTATACTCAGGGGCAATAGAAGTTGAGAGACCTATACTCCTCAGTTCTCATAAAAAAGGCTTGTACCCTCCTCTTCCAAGATCTTTAATCCCTTCTAATGATTCCTCTCCTTTTTATTCTCATCTGCGTAAGATTGGAATAATCTTAACATGGTTCCCTTTTACTCCACATTCAGATTTATATTCTCCCTCCCCCCCACAGATATGTCAACCAAAGAAGCTGTGGTTTTTATTCCCCACACCTCCTTCCACAGAACAGACTGCTACAAATATTCTTGCCTGGCTCTCTGATTTCTATCAAGCACTGTGTCACTAGCCCCACAGAAGTAGAAGCTGCTGTCTTCAGGATGAGCACTGGTCACGGTCAGAGTTGAATAGGTCTGGTTTGGGTGGCTGATGGGAAACTTGGCCTCAGGAAAATCCTGCTCATATGAGGCTCTTGAGCCCGAGTTAGAAGTGGCTATCAGCATGAGGCTCTGTTTCGGTAACTGACGATACCAAAACACAGCTATGGCCTGCAAGTCCACAAAGCGACATTCAGTCTTCACAGAGGATCCACTTTTACAGATGGCCCTGCTTGGGTGTTGAAGGACAAGAGCCCCAAGCCCAAAACCTGCTGAAACAGAGGACAGAGGGACAAAAATGGCCAACAGGACCACAGTCAGACATGACTTGAGTCAGATAGAACCCCAGAAAACTTAAGGTATCTTTGTCACCCTTCTCCTAGCTCCTGGAAAATCCTATATATGCTTTTATTTTGTACAGTCATCTTCTCAGTCACCCTAGGATTGTAACCCACTCCTCCCCTCACTGGCATTTCACCTTTTGCACTTTAGACAGCCTGGACACCCCTGCTCACCCCAAGTACCGCATATAGCCACAGTTGTATGCCCAAGCCCACAGCTAGAATAAGGTCCATACTTGGCCCCAGGAGCAACAGAAGCATCAGCATCTTCAGTGTTATCCTCACACTGCCTTCTCTGACCCAAGGTCACAGAATGCTCTATTCTCTGTCCTTTCCTCTGGTGGATGCAGGGCTAATCCCATAGTCCTGGGTGCTCGATTCTGCCCTCTGGTGGTTGCCCTTGACAATGATGCAAGATCTATCCCTTGCCCTATCAAAGATGTGTATATACCATGCTCAAGATGACTTCCCAATTTAGCTGGCGGTTGTATGGAAGATACACTGATATCAAGAGTACTGAGATGATTTTAATGAAGTTCTTATAAAGAAAGGGACTTTTGAGCAGCAAATGTAATTACAGCCCATTCTTAGCTTTTCGAGACATATCCTCAACATCTTCATGCTAGGACAATCACGGTTGTCAGTCACTAGGTCTAAAGGTTGGCAGCACCATATTCATCAACAATGCCCAGGCTGGAGAGTATATATTCCCTCGTGATCATGAAGAAAATTTCTTGATCTTCTCAGTGAGGTAGTTATTACATGACTGTCTCTTGACAATTTCTTCATATATTGATAGGCTTAATTAAATTTTTTAATACATATTTGTTTCTCTACCTCATGTGTCTTTGTGTCAAAGATGTTTGGACTGTAATTTACCTAAAATCCTATTACTGTAAGAGAGTTCACACTAAGTATTGGCTAATGGAAATATGTTCTAGGAGGTTAAAGAAATTGCTTATAGTTTAAACATCATGGGATTATTGATTTAATGAGTCAGTCTTGAAAATGAATAGCAGTTAGAAAAACCTCACCATGTTTTCGCTATGAACATTCTGCTTTCTTAACTTTGACTTAATGTTTGCTTCTGTTTTTCTGGGGTGGCTGGTTTACAAGGTTGGGATTGAGACTTGACTCATCAAAGTATAGAAAGAGCCCTGCCACCACCAGATGCTTTCCAGAGAACTACCAGGGCAGTGGGCACAAAAAGCCAGAGAACATCCCTGGTTCCCTGCATCAGCCCTCTTCACAGTCCCTCTAATGTACACAAGGTGCACACGGAAATACCTAATTCAATGCCAACTCAGCTCCAGGCTCCTGTCCATCCACTTTCACTGAAGCTACTTAGAATGTTTTGCTAACTACGTTTTTGGAGTTTACTTATCTAGCTTCTCCGCAGACTATGTAAAACCCAATTATTATTATGCACTTTTATTACTTAATGCTCATAGTCATTTTTCACCCTGGATTGAAGCTTAACTAACATAACTTTGCATCATTATTGGCACTGAAATATGGGATGGATTAGCCACAAGCCAAGCCTTTTTGTCAGTAGCCAATACATGCTACAAAAAAAAAAATTCTTCATTTTTGAGACAATTTCAACATCACTTCCTTTCTTTTTATGCATATGATAAATTTTATTTGTGTCTAGGGCACTTTAATATCTTCAGCACTGATTGGAAAGGAGACAGAAATAAAAGTCAGATCCCTGGCAACACTGGGCTGTGGTACAAGAAAAGCCTTGGTCAGGGTTCTGAGCGCCCCTAACAGCATTCTATATCTTTGCTACCAGAAATCAAGGCTATGTAGCAAAGGGTTATATTTAACCGTGCAGACATTACACAATGGATCCTTCTCTGAGTTGGTATATGGATTTTCAGGTAAATAAATTCTGAAGATTTGTGCAAGGAAAATGATGAGTGTAGATGATGGTAAATATGTAGGAAATTATTCTCATTAAATTTTGGTAAAGCAGTGATGCTTCTATTTATTATAATTGGCACTAAAGGTCTGACTATCCAAAATACTGGATGCCAGTAAAACAGAAAGGAATCGTAGGTGTTTATTGTTCTCAAGCTAATTTTTGCTTCAAGAAAAGGGCAGAGGTAAAACTCAACCAAGTTTTGTTAACATGATGAAGTTTCATGGTTAACTAGCAAAGAAATAAAAATAGACTGTATATTTCTAAAAGGAAAAATAGTAAAGTGAGATAAAAATCAATTGAAAAAATTAAACAAAGGAGGGAAGAAAAACTAATAAAAATAATGTGCAAAGTACAATAAAATAAATAAACCCCAACATATTAACAATCACATACTATAGAAAATTCTATAGCAGTACATTTAAAAATAAACTGCCCCCTCCATCTGTATAAATCCTAAGGCTAAATGCAAGATGTGTTATACATCCATATATAAAATACCCACCTAAAGAACAAGGACACTAGGGCCAGGGATTTAGCTCAGTGGTGCTGGTGCTGCCACCTGCCTCACAAGTGCAAAGACCTTAGTTCAATCCCTGGTACCAAAAAAAAAAAAAGAACAAGATCAAGAACACTAATCATCAGGAGGGAAATGTAAATCAGTATAGTGTTCTATCACCTCACTATTAAATTGTAAAATAATTATGTATGTTTTTATGCACCCATTAAAATAGATTTCCCTGAAAAAATATGGAAAGAAAAAGAATATAGAAAGATTGAAAAAATAATATTAGACAAATGCTTAAAAAAAGGAAGGGGTGAATAGTTTACCAAATAATAGCAAGTGATTTAAATTACCATAAGAAGATGTCCAGTTTTCAAAGATGCCACCTAGTGAAACACAGCCTCCAGCACTGACATTCTCATGCGTGCTCTTGTTGAATCCGAGCTGGCTAGAATACAGGGCAAGGGACACTTTGAGTCTTCCAGACTAGACCATAGTATCTAGCAGATGCTACCTTGGTCAACTGATTACTCACTCATAGGAAATCCAACTAGCATGTTGTAATTTTGACTACCCCAAAGCCACCAGGCAGTAAAAGAGCCTCATCTGAAACCAACGAAGAGCTGTGTGAAGAGATGCATGTGTGGCTGGCCTGCAGCTACTCCAGCCTGCTCCGATGAGTGTCAGATGTGTGCATGCAGACACTGTCTTAGAAGCCCTGTCCTCCTCAATATTCAAATGTCCTAGCCCTTTAACTACATGAAAGACTCAAGTGAGACCTGCCAAGCCAGTGCTATTCAGCCCACAGAACCAAGGCAGATAATAATAAGTTGTTAGTCCAAATCACTCAGTTTTAGGATGGTTTGTTAGAGCGATACATGATTGTGATATACTTGTCATTACAATCTAAATTTTCTAGGCAGGGTATAAAATACGTATGACACACTGCAATGATGTTAAGTGTTCAGCCCAAAGAATGAATGCACTCATAAATTCCAATCAGCTCAAGCTAGAGAACATGTTCAGAGTTCCAAAATCCTCACCCCATCCCCAGGTAGTCAAATAATGTTCCCTCTGGTAACCACTGTTCTTACTTGATACAGTAATACTCATTTGTGGTAGCATTTTCTGTTCAGCATTATATTTGTGATAATCATCCAAGCTGTTGCTAATCACCTTTCATTTTTGCCATATTGTATTTTGTTACACAAATGCAGTATGAACTATTTATCCTTTTCACAGTTGATTGAGTTGGATGTGTTTAAATCTGTGCCATCAAGAATAAAGCTACTGTAATAGTACCTATTTCTTACAGGTTTTATATCCTTTTCTGCACTGTAAGAATTCTTAACTATTTCTTGAATTTTGCAGTTTGCAAACTGACTTTCTGTCGATGTATGGTTAATTATTAAATGAAAAGTCTAGTAATGACTTCTGAAACATTTCCCTCACCTCCTCCTCTCACAATTACATGCCAGATAAACCTTGACCATATTTCTATGCATCGCTAGGTGGTTCTCTCTCACCCGTCTCCTCCCATATTTATTAAAAATATAGGCTTCTTCTAATAAATTCATGTTACATTTTTATGGGACTATAAAGATTTATGGTCAATGTAATTTTTTCCTTTCTCTTAGAAAAGGCCTTTTATAATGCTCTACCCTCCCTACTCCGCAGGCTCTTTGCTCCCCATCCCCTTGAGGCCTTTGTCAAGAGCAGCTCGCAGCAACTTCTCCTGAGGTGCTTTAGATGTATTCTGTGCCCCAGTGCACAGGGTGCCCCTCATGGGTCCCCGGACTTATCTCTCCCGTTCATCAGTCAAAATAAATAAGTAAATAAGCCATGTACAGCCAGGCATCAGACTCTTCCACGAGTGACTTTCTCTGCTCACCTGCCACATGAGTCTCCACACCCAGGGTCTACATGATGACAAGACTGTGCTGCACATGGTAGGACAGGCAGAGGCCAAAGTTTGTCCTAGAAAACACATGGTGACTTGTGCAGTTCTCTTCAGGTCTCACTACAGGATCTAAGGTAGACTTATTCCAGGGCACTTGACAAGCATGTGGCAGATTCAACACAAAAGTCCCAAGTTTTATAATCTTCAGGGACCTTAGCCTTTCAGGTGTCCTCTTTATAGCCCCAATCCTATTCCTGTTTTTCTAGGTCTCAGACAATGTACTTCCTCCCCACTTCACTGTCAGATCCTCATACTCTCTCTGTTCTCTCTCTCTCCCCCCTTCTGTCTCCCGCATCTCTCCATCTCTCCGTCTCAGTCTCTCTTCCTCTCTCCCCCCTCACCCCGCTTCTCTCCCGTCCCCTCTCCCCTATCCCCCACAACCGGAGAATCTGTGGTTTTCATCCCCCACGCCTCCTTCCACAGTGACAGCTGCTGCAAATGTTCTTGCCTGGCTCTCTAATTTCTACCAAGTGCTGTGTCACTAGCACCACAGAAGTAGAAGCTGCTGTCTTCTGGAACCGTGCTTGTCACCGTAAGAGTTGCAAAGGTTAGGTTAGGGTGGCTGATGGGAAACTTGGCCCTTTCAAAACCAGTTTCATAGGTGACACCGGAGCCCTCATTAGAAATCGCCATCCGAGTGAAACTCTGTTCTGGGAACTGACGGTACCAAATCACGGTTGTGGCTTGAAAGTCCACACAGCGACACTGAATCTTCACAGAGGACCCACTCTTACAGATGGCCCTGCTTGGAAGCTGAGAGACTAGAGCACAAAGTCCGAAGCCTGGTGAAACAGAGAACAGAAGGGCAAAAGAAGCCAGCAGGAGCACAGTCAATCAGGGCCTGGATCAGACAGAACTTCATAAAGCTCAGGCTTTCTGTCACCTTTCTCTCAGCTCTTGGAAAATCCAATACTTTCCTCTTTTGTACCATCCTCTCTTCCTTCCTCAGCTCATAATCCTCACTTCTCCTCATTAGAGACTCAGCCTTTGAACCTTAGACAGCCCTGTTGCTCCCTCTCACTTTGAACAAACAACCCGCAATGGCTGAGCCACTTCACTCACCTTAATGCACAGGTACACACACACACACACACACACACACACACACACACCCAAGCCTCTAATAAGGCCCATACTTGGCCCCAGAAGCAACAGAAGCATCACCATCTTCAGTGTTGGCCTCACGTTGCTTTCTCTGATCAGACTTCAGATGGCCCCATTCTTTACTATTGACCTCATCATCCTGGTTGTGCTCTCATCTGCCCCCTGGTGGTGGCCTTGCCAGTGATGCACTATCTATCCATCTCATCTCCCTAACAAAAGATATTACTTTGAGGAGGCCTCAGAGACTTCCTAGTCCAAGTTCAAATGAGGACACATGGAGACTTAGAGCAATGAGCTGTGTGTTTCTTATATGGAACAAGTGAAATATTTTGGGATAGAATAGCATCATACTACTACCTTCCTAGCTTCTTTGCAGTGTTGTCAAGGTAACCACACCAAGGCAACTCGTGTTCACAGGACTGTGTGTGTCAACAATGTGCAGGACAGACATAGGGCAGGAGGGTCAATATTTCCACATAGTCATAATGAAAACACTCACTTTCCAAATGAGGCAGTTTCCTTAAGAATATTTCATGACAATTCTACTCATGTAACAATGGACTTCAAATGAAAAATATTTATTTATTTATCTTGCATGTCTTTTTGTAAAGGAGGTAACAGCAATAATTCATTTATAATTCTTTTACTATAATGGAGGTCATGCTAATTATTGACCAGTGGAAATAAGTTGTTGGAACTTTGAGTTATTCTTTCTGCTTTGAACATGGAGGGATAATCATTCCAGTAAATCAGTCTTGAAAATCTACAACAATTACAAAAAGCTTTCATATTTATAATAGCCTCTTCCTTGTGATTTCACGTACTGATTACTTCTACTTCGCTGTTGTGGACAGCCAAAAAAGGTATGATTAAGGCCCAAGCCATCAGATTTGTTTGTATGGTAGTGAAATAGTTTTTGTCATATAAATGTTGCTATCACATTATGTTAATATTAGCTTTTCTAGTGAAGATTGTTTGCAGATCCCGTGGCTGCATTTTTATTCCTCGTATTTTGGGCCTCATTAAAATGGAGCCACATCACACCACAACTGCACAACTTGCTGTGGATGCCCTTTGGCCTACATTATGTTTTATCTAGGAAGGACTGCCTGGAAGCCCCATGACTCAGAAGAAAATATCCTATTCCTTTTGAGAAAGAGTCATTGTCAGGTGTCTTCATGGGTGCTTTATAATGATGTCAATTTAGCTAAGCACAAAATAAGTTTCCGAGAATTTCCTCACAGTATGAGTCTGGGTTGCGGTTGATCACAGGGTTGGAGTTACACAGATAATAAAAGGAGAGTATAATGACTATTATTGCTCTCAAGTTACTACTGGTTTAAGATTTGGAGAACAACTATGACCAAAAGCGCCTGTGGGCTCCGATTTGTGCTTTTTCTGATCCCCACCCCAGTGTCTGTACCTCCTGCCAGCCCTGCTGACTAACTGATCCCCACCATCACCAATTCCTTTCTTGAAAACTCACAAAGCAGTGGGCACAGAGTCACCCATCTTCCCTGGATCCCTGTGCAAACCCACATCACTGTCCATTGGGAGATGAGTTTATCAAATTCAACACAAGCTCTCACTCATCCTTCTTTACCAAAGCCACTTAGAATGTTTTTCTAACTAGATTTTTTGGAAATTTAATCATCTAAGTTTCCCCAAATGGTGTCAAGCCTGATTCCTATAATAAATTTTTATTCCTTCATGCTCATAGTGGGTTTTCAAGCTTGATCTGACCTTAGTTGAGAAAGTTTTTGTGTCACTATTATTGCTGTCATATTGATCACAGATTAGCCACAGCCCAAGTCATACACTTTGTCAATAGCCAGTACATTCTATAATTCTTCTTCTTTGGGAATATTTCAGTGTCATTTCCCGTTACGGTTTCAATCTAAAATGTCTGCCAAAAGTCTTGTGTTCAGAGGTAAATCTTTGGAAGGTAGTTTGATCATGAGAACGCTGTACTCATCAGTGAATTAGTCCTTTAATGCGTTTATATCTGACTGTGCTATTTGGATGTGGGGCCTGGTTGGAAGAGTTGGGTCACTGGATTGGAAGCATGACCTGGAAATGTATATTCTTGCACTCAGCTTATTCTCCACCCACCCTCCTCCCCTGTGCTTCTTGCTCACCATGATGTGAACAAGTTTTCTCCTCCATGCTCATCTCCTATGCTGTTTCTGCCTTGGTGCCTAATGACCATGAACTGATCTACTGAAAGTATAAGACAAAATAAAGCTGTACTCCTTTAAATGGTGAGTGTTTGATATTTTCCCCAGCAATGGGAAAGTAGCTTTCTTTTTATTTATGTGATGAATTTTCTTGGTGTATGAATTTAATATTGGAGGAGTCCTCTGGAAAGGAGATAGAAGTTAAAATCAGAGCCCTGAGATCACAGGGCTGTGGCACAAGAAAAGCTACAGCCATGTCGAAATTTAACAGCCTCTCATAGGATTCTATATCTTTCCTTAGGGTATATCTGCTACAAGGAATCAACACCATGTGGCAAAGGATTATGTTTAACAGGCAGAAGCAGAACATGATGCATTCACTTCCTGCTCTGAGTTTGCATAACTATCTGATAAAGGATTGTAGAAGGAAAATGAGACTATTTCATTGGTAATTTTTCCTACTGCTGGGACAAGTATCTGACACTTGCAATTTTTAAGTGAGGAGGATAGGTTTATTTTTGCTTGCAGTTTCAGTGAATTCAGCCTATTTCTGATGCTAAAGCGGAGGCATTATGGCAGAATGAAATGGTGGAGGAAAGCTGTTCACTTTATTATGGCCAGGAAGCAGAGAGAGAATGGAAGAGCTGTGAGGAAAATGTATTCTTCTAAGTCAAAACCTCAGTGAATGACCCATTCCAAAAAGGCCCTACCTCCAAATATAAGAATTTAGGGGTGCTGTTTTGACTTGTAATCTTGATGTCCCCATAAAGTTCCATGTGGTCATAGGTAGGGTTTTTCAGAGGGGGCTTGATCTAGGGTATGTTATGCTAGGATGAGCGTGTGATGCTGAGATTGAGGGTGTGATGCTGGGATTTAAAAGTGCCCCGCCCTGGGCATGAGTGCTACCCACCCTCAGGCCAGGGAGCCTGCATGGAATATAACAGAAAGAGGCCTGCTGCTGTCACTTGTTGCTGCTTGTCTTCTGCTGCCTTCTGCCTATTCTGTAATGCCTCTCTGCCATGCCACCTTGCTTTGGAACCAGTATGAACTGAAACATTTACAAACTGTGAGCTACAATAAACTTTTTCTCCTTTAACTTTGGGCAGGTGTTTTGTCACAGCAATGAGAAAAGTAACTAAGATAAAAACATTTTGGACCTCAACCAAAAAAATTCACTACTAGGCTTTCAAGAGGCTCATGTCCATTTCATTGTATAAAATGTGTTTAGCCCATCTTTATGAGTATATAAGATTTTAAGAGTTCTATTACTGCTAAAATCTGAGTACAAAGATTCCTCTGAGATTGAAGGAAGACTTTGAGATCTATAAAAATCAAAAGGAAATTAAAAGCTTCCAACAGGCTCCATGATCCAATAACTCTTGCACACTCCATGCCTGTAAAACTAGCATAGCAAAGATCATAGCCAGGTTAGCTGCCAGTTTAAGCAGTAGCCAAGCCCCCTTTGAATCATGGTTCCACAGGCCTTTGATTGTGGCTGAGCACTACAAAAAAATCACAGGGAACCAATTTCTTAAGCAGCCCTTCTTAAGCATTGGGCCCTTAGGCTCTCTTCTCAAAGGAAAACTATAATTTAACACCTTTGAGCCAGAGAAGAGTGAGATCTTGCTGGTTCCTAAGATGCCTTCAAACATTTTCATATTGTCCTGATACAAAACATTTGGTTTATTTTTAATGTTTATCTTTTCAGCAACCATTCTCTTCATGGGCCCAACTTTGCAAGAGCTTCTTTTTGGGAAAAAAAACCCTGAAAATATTTTGCATTTGCTTTTTTGCTCCTGATTTCACTGTAGATATTGCTAAAATCAGCCAATATACCTATACAGCAGCACAAATGTTGGGCTGCTTTAAAATTTTCTCCTCTGGATTAATTAGTCCCCTGCCCTTATTTTTGGTCTCCTTCCAAGTCTCAGAATATGGGCAAAATGAAGGCAAATTTTTGTCAGAGTGTAACACACATGGACTCTAGACAAATGCCAGTGGAGTCCTTGTTCCCAGATGAAACTCCTTAAGTTTGGCCTTTACTCTGCATTCCTGTTAGCATTCTGGTCATCTGAGCCCTGACCAAAATCTCCCAACAAGCTCAACTTACAGCAATTTAGATCTTCTCTAGTCAGCATCTCCCAATTTTTCCAAATTCCTCCCGCTAACTAGTTCCAAAGGCTTTTAAACCACAGTGTCAGGTAGAGTAATAGAAATGACTCCATTCTCATTACCATAACATGTTTTAGCCACTTTCTAATCACTGAGACAAAATATTTGACATGTATACTTGAAAAGAAATTTATTTTGACTCATAGTTTCAGTGATAACAGTCCATGGCTGGCCAGCTCCTGTGCAGAAAAGGCATGGTGGAGGAAAGATATCCACTGCATAGCTACCAGAAAACAGAGAAAAAAGACAGGATCCAGGGATGAGAATATACCATTCCAAGTTGACCCCAGAGATCCATTTCTTCAAACCAGGACCTACCTCTAAATGTGAGGTTTTGGGGGACTATTTTAAATCTAAGTCATAACAAGTATAGATGATGGCAAACATGTAGGGAAGTAATTCTGATTAAATATTTGTAAAACTATGATACTTCTAGTTCTTCTTTTTGGATTTGAAATTAGGACTATTCAAAATACTGCAAACCAGGAAACTAGGAAGGGTACACAGGTGCTAATTTTCCCCAAGTTGATGTATGCTTCAGAAGAAGGTGAAGATAAGATGAATACCAGGTTTTGTTAACATGATAAAATTTCATAGTTAATCATCAAAAAGTAAAAGGTAGAATGCATATTTCTGGGAGGCCAAGTAATGAAATGAGAAAAATAAATCAAGAAAAGAATGCAATAAATGAAAAACTAGACAAATAATTGGGCAAAATTAAAGAATGATAAACCAAAAAAATAGTAATAAAATAAAAAATAGAGAGAAATAAATCTAAATATATTAGCAATCACATACTACAGAATTCTCCATTAATATATTTTTAAAATATATGGCGCTTCTAGTTCTATTAATTATAAGCATGGATAAAAATATATTATATTACCCTTATATAGTCCCTACCTAAAGAATAAGAAGACTAATCAGTAAAATGAAAATCAACATCACAAAGAATGGCTATTATCAAAAAGACAAAGATAACAAGTTTTTCTGACAATGTGTAGAAAGGAAACCCTTGCACACCATGGGTAAAGATGTAAATTGCTGCAGCCATTATGAAACCAGAATGGAAGTTACTCAAAAAATCAAAACAGAATTGCTATATACTCTGCCAATTCCACTACAGGTATGTGTCACAGGAAATGATAAAATGCTGTATATTTCAAAAGATAAAAGAAAAGATTTTGACATTTTCACCATAAAGGAATGATAAGTGTGTGAGGAGATAGTTTAATCTGACTAAATTATTAAACAGTGTATACATGTATCACAACATCACTTTGATTCCTGTTAAGATGTTCATTTTTGTGTAAACATAGAAAGGAAGAAAAATTATTAAACAAATATTTTTTTCACCAAAGAGAGTAGCTTACAAAACTATGTCAAAGGATTCAAATAAGCATCATATAATTTGGTTTTAGACTTCAAAGATGCTACCTGATGGAACTGGGTCCCAGTACAGACATTCCAGTGAGTGCTCTTTTCTTGAGCCTGAGATGGTTAGAATGTGATGGGATGATGCTGTATATCTACCAGGGTGGGCTATAGTAGCTTTGTACATTCTACATGGGTAACTTGAAAGCTCCTTTTTAGAAACTCCAACTACATCGCTATTATGACTATCCAGAGGCCATCAGAGGCCATCATACTGAACAGAAACCCTCCTAATAACTCTGGAGATCCACGTGAGGAGAGGCTTATCTGGTTACATCTACTCCAGCCATCCTAGGTGAGGTCCCAGACATGTTTATGAAGACATCATCTGCGGAGTCCAGCTTGGTTAAGCCTTCAGATGTCCTCAGCCTCAGCGCTACCTAAGTACATGATTACAACTTTCTGAGAGGCCCCAAGTGAAACCTGCTCAGCTGGAGCCATTCGACCCACAGAATCATGGCAGATGATGATAAATTGTTTATTTAAATCACTAAGTTTGGGGGTAATTCACAAAACAGAAAGGGATGATTAGGATATAGTTTTCATTATATGTTTATCTTTTTAGATGAGACTGTGCAGATCTCCATATTCAGCCCACTGAAATGAATACACTTAAAAACACCACTCAGATCAAACTACAGGATATTTTCCAGAGTTCTAAAAGCTTCTTCTCCCCCATGCCAAGCAAACAAATAATGTCCCTACAATATCCTCTGTCCTGACTTCATACATTTTGTGTTTATCTCCTTTTAGTCAACATTATGCTGGTGATATCCACTTGTTGCAATTCATATTTTATTTTTTCCACTCTTATGTTTTGTTACACAATGTGCACATGTGTTCCATGCATTGTTGATGGACAGTTGGGTGTTTTTCAGTTTGGGGCCATCATGAATAAATCTGCTGTAACTACCCTTTTCTCACACATTTTAAATCATTTTCTTCATTCTAAGAATTCTAGACCATACCTTGCGTTTTTATACATCAGCAAATTAGTTTTCTGACTTTGCTAAGTTATGCTATGTCCAATGGGCTTTTAAATTGAGTAATTCTGCTTATGATGTTGTCTTGTGAATTTTCTGTTCTATCGAAACATATTTGCAACTGTATAATTCATAAATAAAAGAGATTTAATAGGTCTGATGTTTCTAGAAGCTGAGAAGTCCAAAGTCAGGCAAGGGCCTCATGTTGTATCAACTCATGGCAGAAAAAGGAAGAGAACTGGACATGTGTGAAAAAGAAGAGGGACAAACGGGAATGGACTCTTCATAACATAACTTGATAACCTGCTCTGTGGAAACTACTCTAATTCTTTTTTTTTTTCGGTACCCGGGATTGCACTCAGGTCCTTGTTCTTACAAGGCAGGCCACCGAACTGCTAAGCTAAATCCCCAGCCCCTCTAATTCTTTCTTGAGGGCACAGCCCTGTGACCCAAATGCCACTTAAAATATCCATTTCTTCTTAAAACTAATACACTGTCAATTAAGCTTTACCCTGGGTTTCTTTGGGTGTCATATTCAAACCATAGCATGTGTTCAAGAAATATTACCTTTCTAGATTATAGTTTTGCGCAAATTATCTTCTGTAGTTGAAAGATGTAATCACCCTTAAAACTTGCTAGGAAACATGTAGGATATTTACAATTTTTAACTTCCTCATATTTTCCTTTGGATGTTTTTTCTTACAACTTGGTGGTGGTGGTGAAGGATATGATGAAACATCTACAGAGTTCTTTTTAATGTTAACATTACTCTGAAAAAGCACATGGTTCAGGAGTATTTGTAGTAGATTTCTGAAGTCTATTTGAAGTCCATCTGATTTGATTTATAAATTTGTCAGGTGAAAAGATAGAATATACACAGATGCCCAAGAGTACAAGATTGCCCATCTCTTGCTGTCCTCACTTTAATTTACTTTTTCACTGAATGGATGAACTTACCCCATTCCATTCCTTCGTAAATGAGTTGTACACAGAAGCTACAATAAGGAGGTAGCTCTGCCACTGACGGTAGGCTATTTCTTCCACTGCCACAGAAGTCCATGGTGACTCTGCCTGGCACAGGGAATGTCTTATACATCTGTGAACATGACCTGGAAATTCACAGTGAAGCATATTTGAACGATTCCATTTCCAGTGGTTTTCCTTACTATTGTCAGAGAAAAGTGTTTCATGACATTGGACTTCACATTATTCAGTGTTTCAGAGTGCTTTAGTTCTGATTCACAGGTGGTTGTCTCCTGTCTATCTCTATGGGATTTTGGCTTCCATGTGACTCTGCATGAGTCAAGCTTCCAAAGAACATGTGAGAGAAGAAATCCAAAGCTAAGATCAGAATCTAGGCAGGAATTAAAAGAGGATGCATGCTTTGCACACTCTACACAGTGACTGCAGAAATCCTTTGTCCCAAAAGAAAAAGGATCATATAAAAGAGCAGACCAGAGTTCTTTGATGATTTTGAGACTAATTTTAAAACATATTCCAACTAGCACTTTTAGTTGTATGCAGTGCATGACGGCTGTCATGTATTTCTAGAAACAAAACTATATAATCAAATGGATAAACAAAACAAACACAACATCAAGAATTAGTGCCACAAATCTTCAAATTCAATGGGTATGTGGAGGAGAAAAGAGGAAGAAAACATATAGAAAATACCAAGTTCACTTGGACAGCTTAACTCACCAACTGATTGCCTAGCAGTCACACTGATGTTTCTCTGAAACATGAGTCGCTCTTCTAAGGATCACGCACGGATTTACTGTAACTGTCTGATACTTGTATGCAGATATCTAATAAATGCTCACTAGAAAGAGGAATATAATTTTGTTTGATAACCTCGGTTTCATTCATTCTTTTGAGTTCTTTCTGTCGTTGCCACACTGGGAAGGAGTTCACCACCATTCCTTCTGGTATCATCTTCTCCATCTTTCCTTTCAGAGCTACAAAGCCAGTCTCCCCCTTTGGGTGCTTGCCTATACGGTAAAATCCTGGTCATCATTCCAATCTCTCAAACTTTGCCTTCTTTGAAGTCCTTCCTGGTGTCACCGGGCAGAACTGGCCAAGTTATTTCCTGTACTCTACTGTCACCTGTGATAAAAACACATACATAGTAGTGAGGCTACAGTATTTGCTTTTTCTGTCCCTCTCCACTCACTCCCCATTAGGCACTGATTATTTTTCTGAAAGAAGGGATAATTTTCCTTCCATTATTGCCATGTAAAGTTCAGTAAGACAGAAGACAGCTTGGGCTGTAAAATGAACCACTCTCCTCTCGTCTACCACTCTGCGTATGTGTGTGTGTGTGTGTGTGTGTGTGTGTGTGTGTGTGTGTGTGAAATAGAGTGGAGTTTTGTGTCATCATAAAGCATCCTGAAGGCAGCGGGTGCTTTCCTTGGAGGTCTGGCTGAGGTGGAAGATGGAGCAAGGCAGGCAGAAGGGCAGAAGAGCCACCTGGTGGGGAAAGCAGGGCTAGGGACACATTTTGCGCACAGAGGAGGTGGCTATGCTCCACTGTGCCATACTGCTGGCACAGAGATAGATTGCAGTCTGATTCTTTTGTGTCGATGTCACTGTGAGGGGAAATAATTCCTTTTTCTCCCTAGACACAGTATAGCCCTCAGCTAGGTCCCCTTTCTGGATATCACTGACAAACTGTGAGAAGTAGATCAGTCTCGGCTCTTGCCGTGGGTCCTGTCGGTACCAGTACATGGCATCGTGATTCAAATTCTGTTCACATCCCAGGGTAACGTCCTTTCCTTTCTCTATGAACTGGAATTTGGGGGTCTGAATGATGTCACCGTCCATGATTCCTGAGGAAGAAAGAGAAAGAGGCTGGAAACAAGCCCAGGAGGGTGGCTGATTCTGCTGTTTCTGGAGAAAAGTTGAGATGTGGGGATTTGGGACAGGGATTTGCCTCAGGAACCCAGGGCTCACCTGCTCCAAATAGACAAAGGGTTATCCAGCACAGCACCCGGTAGCTCATACTGGGAAGGGTGCGTCTCTGGCCCCAAGTGTTTGTCAGAAGAGAAAGACCAGAAGTACCTTGGCTCGGGGGCTTCCCCTGGCTTACTCTGTGGATATGGTCAGGAGGCAGATGCTCAGAGGGGGCTCCCTGATTTTTCAGATGGGGAGGCAGGCCAGGGAGCAGGAACCCTTTCTCCTCCCCCAATATCTCGCACCTCCCATTTGCCTGAGTGGAAGGTTGGGCTCCCTCCCATTGGTGCTGTAGTTTACACCTTTCCACTACCTAACAGATTTCATTTTTCGTGTCACTGACACTCTGGGGAAGAGCGACTCTGGGGTCTGGAATTGCGGAGGAAACGAGGCACAGAAGGGCTCTGAGTGACCTCCAGGGCTGTCTTGTTTGTGCAGAGGTCTTTATCTCACTTCTTTCTGCATCACTTTCTCCCTGACTGCTTCTCCTTACCATCCTCTGGTTTCCCTGCCTTTCTCACTGGCTCTTATTAAATATTTGATTGTGTTGTCTTCTTCATCCTTCAATTTATTCTTCTTTCTAGAATAATTTTACCATCTTCCACCATTTCTTTCTTGAGTACAACTTCTGTTTTTCAGTTCTTCTAGTCTGCACAACTTCTGTTCTTAGGGTTTTTTTGTTAAATTCTGGCAATAGGAGGTTTCCTTGCCTGAGTTTGGCTCTGTCTAAAGTGTGGATTTACATTTTCTACTAACTTGTTTGGTTTTTTGGAGGGGAGGCAGAGATGTGGAATTTTGCTCCACTCAGTTGATTTCACTTTCGCCCTCTCTCTCTCTCTCCCTCTCCCTCCCTCCCCCACCCCTCTGTGTTATTGGATAATGGAGCATCTATTTTTACGACTGCCTTGTTTATCATCACTCTACCAAAGACCAGATACCTTAACAAGTCTTGTTTGTGTTTTCATAGTAAGTCCTTTCAAATTGTGATCTTCTGATTCTGATTTCTCTTCTTTATCTAATTCCTCTTTGCCTGTGTTTTTTCCTCCCTTCCCTCAGAAGCAGTGGCTTTGGATTTGGGTCCCTTTAAAGCTCATGCCTGATACTTTAAGTGGCTTGGCCTTTGAAATCCACTTCTGTGCCTTCCTGTCTAGATGGAACTCAGGGTTTGGTTTTATCTGTTACAGAATTCATTCCAGCCTCAGGTCCCCACTCCACATCCTTCTTCTGTCTTCCTGGCTGATTTGTTTCCCCTCCCAGGTGGGTGAGGCAGAGGTAGGACCACTTGAGATAGTTTCAAAAAACCAGAGTCAAACTGAAAGGCATCACCAGAGTGTTCACTCCATGCTGGGAAGAAGCGCTGAACTCCTCACAGTACCTGAAATATTTGAAATGACTTTGTCCTGCCTGCTTTTGATAGTCAAAAAATGCTTCATCCAAAGCAAATGATGATACACCCTTCCTTTGTAAGTGCTGAATGTTTGTATAGTGAAGATACAAATAATACTCACTGACACCAGGCATGATGGTACACACCTATAATCCCAGCACTTGGGAGGCTGAGGAAAGAGAATCACCAGGAGTTCCAGGCCAGCCGAGACCACATACTGAGGTCAAGGCCAGCTTGAACTACATAGGAGACCTTGTCTCAAAAAACCAAAAATATAAAATGCCTGCTGAGATAACACATATCAAAGTGATGCAATCTAATGAAACTAGTATCTGTAGATCAGATTTTTCTTCTAAATTCCAAATAAATTTATTATATACCCATCAGTTCTCAGACATTCTATGATTTTATAGCTATAGTGTTTCATCCTGACTCCATCCTCACCTGCTTGAGGCACTGGGCAAGGACCAAACTGAGGATTATACCAGAAAGCATGCCAAACAGCATGATGGTATGAAAATAGCACATTCACCTAGACAAACCTGAGTTTAATTGCTGTCTCTGTCACCTACTTGTCCTTCCTCCCTCCCTTCTTCCTTTATTCCTTCTTTCCTTCTCTAAAGAAAAAATAACTCCTGGAATTATATTTTGTCATGGTGAAAATTAAGAAAGCCCTCTTTCTCTTATAATTAAACTATATATATAAAAAAAAAACAAAACAAAACACACACACACAAAATTTAAGGATAACATTTATCAATTATGAGCTTATAAATATCAAATTAATCTTAAAATATCATAAAGTTGGAATAATCATCACATACTTACACTTTACTCAATTTTTCAAGTACGATGCGTTTTCTAATCTGGTTCTGGGAACTTGAATCTATCAGTGGAAAGGTATGATCATGCTGAATCAAATGTTTCAACAAAGCAAAATATAAAAATTAAGATGATATTCTTTCTTTTATAAGCAGTACAAACATTAAACACTATGGTTTATATCTCTGGTACCATAAGAAAACAATTAGACTTAAATATTGAGTATCAGATACAGAATAGCTCAAAAGAGAGCTATGTGATCAGTACGTGTTTAGCCTAACAAAGTTCTACTTTCAGAAACATCCTTATATTTTTGTCATGATAGAATTTCTGAGTACAGATTAGGGGTCTCATGATATTCACTATCCTCCCCTGCTTTTGTCCTCAGTCTGTGAAATGACTTGCAGCATATTTGTAATTTACACACACAAATGTTTTCCTTCTGCCACCATTGCTGCTCCTGGGGCAGGGTCTGGGGATGTTTGTGCACTGTCAGGACGTGGCTCTGCATTGATGTGGATACAGAGCTTGCACAGAAGTAGACTGCTGAGTCTTCCAGCTCTGCTGGCTGGATCTTTAGGATCTTAGGTCCTTCTTTGGGAAATTCAGTAGAAAGCCGATTGTTTATAAATCCTGAGCCATCTAGGACTTCTTCGTGGAGGTAAACAAGGAATTTCAGCCCTTCCTCCAAGAGCTGCTGATACCAGTAAACACAGATGTGTCCTTTCTCTGATTGCAGTTCAGTATTACCTCCTGGCCTCTCCTCCAGACCAGGTGTCTTGGATTCTGGGTGACAGCAGCACTCATGAGATCCGCAAGGAGAAGTTTCACGAGACACAGTTATAATGGCTGAATAAGCAGTGTCTTCCTATCAGCAGCCCCCAGAAAGGTTAGGGGTCTTTGAAATCTCTTGAATTCCCTTAAAACTTTATGTAAATTTAACTTTTTACCATACAAAATAATTATTTATTTTCATGTGTCAATAACCTTCAGAAAATCTTTATGCTACATAAAGGCTCAGAGGTTATATTTTTTGAGACCGCTTTAGAGAAGGAGACAAAGCCCAATGATGCTATTTAATTAGCTCAGGACTCACCTGCCCCCAGGAGCCAGGTAACCACACATCAGAGGAGTCTATGACAGACATTGGCCTGAAGGTGGCCTTGTAGGCTGGGCCAGGCAGGGTGCTCTTTGTAGCAGATCACCAGATAGACCTCACAGCTTCTTCTTGTAAGGCAGGTCTTCCTGTGAGATCACCACTCCCAGTGGGTCCTATCATTTCTAGAATTACTTTTATGCACCAGTTGAAATGGTAGATCTTTTGTCTGTAATGATACACACAAATTGGCTTACTGTGTGTTTGTGGGCTACAGCATAGTGTAGGGGGTGTCTGAAGATAAAAATCTTCATCATTATTAGGTTCTGAAATGTACCTGAACATTAAATTTTTTTACCAATTCTTCATTTTTCTTGCCTTTTGTTTCTGTACCTTTCTTTACCTGTTTCAAATCACCTTTCCATTATCTGGCTGTTGCATTGACCAGAGGTAATATCTAAATACACATATTAAAAGATAGGAAAGTGAAGATAGACAATGCTAGTGAGAAAATTGAAACAAGAAAAAGCTTATGTTTTTTTAGTTTCCTTATCTCCTCTCCCATCAAAGCTAAGTTATGGTTGCAATGATTTTAAGGAATTTTATCCTAAGTTTTGTAGTTTAGTTTTTTGTTTTTCATTACTTCATCTGAGTTTTTATATAAGCAGTTCATAGAAGAAAGATTAGAAAAATTATAAATTCTCTTTCTGAATTATGCCCTTGATTCTTGTACAAAACTATATTATTCTCTTTAACAATGTATCCTGGTGTTTGAGAGATCCTTCTTCCTTCTATTCTCCTGTTCTTCTCTCTTTCCCTGTGACAATATCTCTTCCTGTCTATCTGTGAACAATAAAGTTATTTCCCTTCCTGTATGAGTGTTCTAGCTAACTGCACTCATCCAAGAAATAGTTATTGTAGCTCTGGGCTAAAGTGCTCAGATTGTCATTACTAATGGTTGGTGTAGTGTTAATTGTTTGCTAACTTCCATCCATTTAGAGCTCTCTCTGGGATTTGTAACCAGAGCACAGCAAATCTGCTTCACGTACACCAAGGTCATGAAGATTTACACCTGTTTTCTTCCAAGAGTGACACTGCTAAAATCAACTGCCATAAATTTATGGGTTCATGAAAGTTTTCAGTTCTCTTATGGCTTGTATGTAGATGTTCCTCCAAAGTTTCATGAAAAGGTGGGGCTTTTTAGAAGTAGCCGAATCTAGGGTGTGAGATGCTGAGATTAATGGTGTGATGCTAGAATTGAGGGTGTCCCATCTTAGGTATGAGTGCTACCCACCCTAAGAGTATTATGGAAGGAATCAGTAAGTGACATACAGAGAGGCGGCAGAATGGAAGTAAAATAACAAAACTTTTACTTGTTGACAAAGATCAATCCCACATAAAGCAATGCCTGGATTCATTGAGTACTAGGCTACAACTCCTTTTTATAGGATTTTACAGCCTTGATCTCATTCAGGTGGTTAGATTTCATTTTCACAATTCACATTGCTGATATTCAAAACATGGTGGAAAGACAGTTGAATTTCAACCCAGATGTAGCATTTCTTTGTTAGAGGAAGTTACCTTTAAAATTCATCTAGTTACCTATTCTTGCCCAGGGAAGGGGGGCATGTCTGGTCAGCAAAGTTAACAACGGTTCTTTTCATTTACAAAACTTTTGAGCTAGACTAGATGCTTCTGGTGCCTGTTGATTCTGAACTCAACAAAGTAAACAGCAGAGATTATTTTACATTGTGACATTTTGTAGGTTTTGGCTATTAAAGTTTTTTCTATCATTCCTCCCTTTGTTTAGGGGATAACATTTGGTGCATTG